TCCCCGCAGCCTTCTCTTCTCCAGGCTGAACAACCCCAACTCTCTCAGCCTGTCTCCATGGCAGAGGTGCTCCAGCCCTCGCATCATCTCCGTGGCCTCCTCTGGACTCGCTCCAACAGCTCCATGTCCTTCTTGTCCTGGGGACCCCAGAGGTGGATGCAGCACTGCAGGGGGGTCTCACCAGAACAGAGGGGCAGAATCCCCTCCCTTGACCTACTGGTCATGCTGCTGGTGGTGCAGCCCAGGACACGGTTGGCTTTCTGGGCTGTGAGCACACATTGATGGGTCATGTTGAGCTTCTCCTCCCCCAATACTCTTAAGTCCTTCTCCTCAGGGCTGCTCTCAATCCATTCTCGGTGCAGCCTGTAGTTGTGCTTGGGATTGCCCCGACCCATGTGCAGGACCTTGCCCTTGTTGAACTTCATGCAATTCACATGGGCCCACCTCTCCAGCCTGTCCAGGTCCCTCTGGATGGCATCTCTTCCCTCAGGCCTGTCGACTGCACCACACAGCCTGGTGTCATTGACAAACTTGTTGAGGGTGCAAGATTGAAACTAAGTAAAACAAAAGCAAATTAAGGCTTTGAAAACTTGATTTTTTTTTTTTTTAATAAAGCAAACAGTAGTAACATCTTTGGAAAAATAAAGTGGATGCTGTATGTTTAGCATGAAACACTTGCCCAGTGTTTGCTGAGCTTTAATTATGAGAGCAGATGACAGCACATTTTCATCTAGAAAATATAGTACCAGTATTCCCACACGTAAGAAAACTTGGAGGGGGGAAGTAAAAATCTCAGAAGAAAGGTAAGTAACCTGAATGCACACCCATTAATGGTAAATCAAGTTTCATCTTCACTGTGGAACAGTTTACGTAAATACTCAGGAAGGATCAGTGGAATAAAAAGATAAAACTGGCTATATAAATGTCAATCTTTATTTGATCTCCCAGTGCAGTACATGACTTGTGTACTTCAAATGGATAGAAAAAACAAAAGAACAAAAAGACAACTGCTGAAGAAAGATCTCAGGGGTTAGGACATTGCTTTTGGAAGGGGTATATTGTCCACTTCATGGATGCCATCTTTGTCAATGAACCGGGCATTGAAAGAAGTCAGATTTAGGATGAAGCGTTTCTGAAGCTGTTCAACAAAAGACAAAGACAAAAGAGATGAGATTCATTCAAAGCTTAAATTATGCTCTCCTTTTTATTTAAGGGATATGCTGTTGCACATCAAAATTTCCATCCTGGTGCTAGTGACCTGAAATATGAGGAACTAGAGTGTTTTTTTCACTGCTCAGGAATCAATTAGTACGAGTTTGTTATAAGACTATCCATGCTAGACAAGCCTTGGCTAGAGATGCAAAAATACACAACCTGGTTAACAAGGAAGACATTTAAGCAGGAAGACAAGTGGGCTACAACTTAGGGCACAAAGTATATGTATCAAAAAGACACTTCAAAGAGAACTTCTTCCTGAGGTTTCCCCAGATGTTTCTTCCCAATTACATTCGATCCAATCTCCTAAAGACAAGGATAAAGAGTATTTTCCTACAATAAGACCCTTTGAGTCTAAAAGGTTATGTTTATGCTAAAATTGATCATGAACTTCAAGGTCAAATCTTTACCTCAGTTAGATATCACTTCACAAGCTGGAAGAGAAGTACACTTAGAAGTATATACTGGTGAAGTATAATACGAGTAACAGAAGGATGCTTGCATTATGTTCAGAAGAAATGTAAAAAGTCAAAGACTGTCTGTATCAATATTATGCTAAGCATGGAGGAAGAAGAAGTAAAGAAAAGCAATTAAGCTTTAAGTTTATGTTCTGGAGGACATGAACCATGCTAAGACAATGCAAGTGCCCACAAATCCTTTTCCTCAGTAGCTATCCCACATCTGGTCAATGTGCATTTATTACCCCTTCTGGCAAAGGCAGCAAAAAAAATGCGACAAGGGGAACCGGAAAATATCAGCAAATGAATGCAAACAAACATTCCTTTCTCAAGATCCTAACTGGCTAAGTTTGGCAACTCACCTCCTCTAGACATTTTTTTAGGAGCTCCACAGCTTCCTCACGTGTGATACCTGAAAGAGAAAACATCCACAGATTGATTGAATTAGAGGCCATCTCTCTCAAGAGAAACTTTATTAAATTTAAACAACTTTTCAGCTGAGCACCAAAACCTCTCCTTCCCAGCTCACGGAAAACACTTTCCAGATGTACTGAGGATGCCCTGCACCAAAGCGCTCTCACTGCAACAAGCCATTGAGAATCGATTTGTTACACTGAATGGGAAGCATGACGGAATTTTGCCTCCCATGGCCAGGGACTGGGCTTTGGAGAAGTCCAGCCGTCTCTCTCTCCTTGAGTTTATTACAGTTTTAAATCAGCTCCATCTGTCCACAGCCGGCTGCAAGTCAGTGACAGTAGGCGGAGATTGGTTTTAGTGTTACGTTCCCTGCTGGGTATTAGTTTTAATAATGGGAAAGGCACGTGTGTGATGCCCCTGCTATTCTCACACATTAGAATAAAATCCAGTGCTCTACAGGGATGGCAAGCCATGACAACATATTGTAGCTCACTATTTTTCTCTTTTCACAAGGTATGGTGAAAATGGAGCAGCATAATTTTCAAGGGATGTGACTGAAAAAAAACCTAAGCTCTGTGGATCTCACAAAACTCGTTTCTACAGTTTGTTTCAGACCTGCATCCACTGCTCGGGCAGAAGTCCCACTAGAATAACATTGCCAGCTCATAGCTACGTTTCTTGCAGGAGACAGATGAAAGGATTACTAAGCGAACATCTCTGCTATGATATTAAACTCAGCTTTGCACACAGGAGTAACATAGTTTTGTAGCTAAAGCCAAAGATGTCAGATTAACAATATTCCAAGCTTTGTACATCTCATCTGTGAAGTGGGGATTGGGCCATGTTTATTCCTTGGCAGCATAAGAACTGGATTATGATTCTGAAATTTTAATTTCAGACAGGTATAGACATGTACAAGAATTACGATCAACAGCTACCACGTGCCTAAAACTAAACCAAACCAAGCAATCTTCAGCACCACCACTTCAGAGCACTGAAGATAATCTTGCTAGGAATATCTTTTCACTCGTATGTTTTCGCACACAAAGCCAATCCAAGATACAGAGCAATAGGATCTGGGACCGCCTTCTGAAGACTGATGCTCTGGGAAAATGTACAGGTCGTGGTCAACAGACAAGCAAGTAGAAGATAAAGTTATCAAAATGTTATTTATTAAAAACAGACTACTAGCAGCTAATGGTCCAGGAGAGTTCACTCACGTTTGAGAATAAACTGAGACTTCCTTCACTTACAGTCTGTTATGCTTCAAACAGGAAAACACTTTAAGGAGTTGACTAGTTTCACATTACTATTTCAGCAAAAACAGAAGGCTATCTTTAAAGCTACATTTATTCTAACAAAAAGTCGAGTTCAAATCTGTAGCACCACAGCAATTGTGCTGGACCATCTGACTCAGCAAACGTCAATTTCAGTTCAAACCTTTAATTTATTAATCTCTAAGAGGAGAATTTTCTTCTCCATAGACTCCACTTACTTGGCTTGTAATAGCGGTCAAGGATGCTGAGGGTAAGGAATGCACCATATCCGTGTGCTGCAAAAGGAGCTTTAGCCAGAGCTGCAAGGTAATCCATGTAGTAAAGGGCAGGACCTTCATGGTCATCATAGCCAGCCAGGAGAAGGTTGACGTGGTAAGGGGTCTACAAACAGAAACGATGCTTTCATTAAAGCAGCCACACCCGAATCTTTGAATCTTAATTCCCCATGCCACCTACAGAATAGCAACATAGTTGGTTTCACAATTCTTTGCCATAAAATGCTACTAGCAACTACATCAATACTGTCTGCAGGAGATCATGGATCTCCACCTAAAAAGGATAGGGTCTTTTGGTAATACGGAATGTAGAAACAAATATAAACATAAAACTCTGCTTCTCCTGAAAACTGGTGGTTTTTTTTTTTTTTTAAAGCTTTCATGGCACATTTAAACTTAAGAAAACTTTAATTATGTTTTCATACCAGATTCATCTCAACATAAACTTGTGGATTTTTACTGTCAACATGTGAGCACAATGTGAACATTTTGCAGTTTATAAGAACTTCTTTGTTAATTTAACACGCTCTTTTCTCAGTCACACTACTGCTAACCATAGACCATTTTAGCACATATGAAAGCTTACATACAGTGTGAACAGTTATATACACTGTTTCGTTGACTCGTTAATTGGCAGTTAGATTTTTATTGCATGTACCAAGTTTAATCTTTAATATTAGGCTAACTTGATCAAGTGAGTGAAGAAGATCTAAGGAATTGGTTCATTTCTATTTAAAACTGACCACTAAGATACAGCACCATCATGTCAGCAGTAGCCTTTTTGTTTGGTTGGAAACAGTTTTCTTACACTAGAAATTTAGGCTGCTTTAGCTGCTGTCTTCTCTGATTCCTGTTTATGACTTCAGCAAGAGCCTATCAGATAAGATTGAGAAATATCGACATCTTATCCAAAAAGACCATGTAACTGCATTAATGTAACCATGCCTTTTTATTGTGCTGCACTTGCAAGTTTAGCAATTCCTTCGCCATTTTCTTCGTGCTTTAAAAGTTTAGTGTGTTCCACCCACCATGATGAATAAAGCAGATGTCCCTATACATCTTCTTCCAAGATGTGTACTTTAAGATCATGAAACATGCATGCACTCTATTTTTAATGTAGGGTCAGAAGAAACTTTTGGAATTTTGTATATTTTTTTAAAACACCTTTTATATACTTCCAGTATTTTCACATTTACATACTGTTTCTTATTAAAGCAGTCATAGTAACAGGATATCTCTTAAAATGCTGGAAAGCCTATATCAACAAAGCAACAAAAAAATGATGAAGCAACTAACAGTAGATTAGAATGAGCAAACACAATTTCACCCTAAAGCCAAAGCATTAACTTTATCACAGGAAAAAGTTCATTTTGATACTGAGCACAGTGAATTTGCACTCAAAAAAAATCCACAGGATACTCTATTTTTTACTTTCACCATATAGTAAGAAAGAATAAAGCAGGCTACAGTTATATATCAAACATATCACTGTAAATTCTGTGATTTAATCTTCAAAGCATTCAAGAATATTTGGAAACAAGTTACCATGCAGCTGTATTCATTTAATTAGTCTGTATTTCATCATGTATTTATTCTGAAACATCACACGAGTTGATATTTAAGAGCCATGACACAAGATCACTCAAATTATTGTGTGACTTTGAATTACCAACATTGGCATATGCGAGATACTCAACCATAAATAAATAGCGTTATACAGACTTAAACAAACCTAAGCTGTTTTTCAGTTGTAAGTTCACCCGCTAACGGTCTATGAGACAAATTCTTCAAACTCAAATGTAAATAAAGTGTCCCTCATGCCTTCCTGTTATTCAAGAAAGGCAGAATTTAAGCACCTCTCAGTGCTGTCTTAATGGGACTAACACCTCTATGCTGGGACTGGTTTTCCTTGGACATTTCAATCCTTTTGTCCATTCCAAAGGCAGCCTTGGCTTTTGTAACTAAATCTATGCCAACAGTTCTAAAGTCTTTAGTAGATTGGTGTGACCTACAAACTACCAAATGACTACCAAATGAGTGGATGACTGACACTCCAGGATTGATGCCCCCTGCCAAACTTACCTTCCTATTAGAGGCAATACTTCTCATCCCAAGTAGCTTTGCACTTTATGCTGTTTGATTTAAAATAACTACTGCAATTAAGAGATGTGTGAAATTCTTCAGAATTTACAGCTGAAGCGAACAGTTGTGATAAATACACTAAACCAACAAGATCAGCAGCGGGAGGCAGGGCAGTGACAAGCAGCGGTGTGACATCTGGCGGAAGCCAAAGTCACAGCAAGGGGGGAAAGGTGGGAGCGAGGAAGCATCCTGCCAAGCGTGGACAAGAAGAGAGGAATTGACAGTCTTCCTTTGGACTCAGGCCAGAGCCTGTCACCTATAATTAAACGTAGCCTCACAAGAAGAAACTGAACTTCATCGGGTTTGGAGGGGCAGAGGGGTATTATTCCTATTCCCCACCATCATGCAAGCCCAGCAGGATGTTAAGTGTACTAACCCCGGCACTTGATTCAGCAAGTGAATCTACTGAGATGCTGGAGCAGGTAACAGTAAAGAGAACTACAGCACCACTCACCCATGCGAAAGCCAGTTGGCTCCAAAGCAGTTTCTAGGTTTGCCTCAACTGTAACAGATGAATGGAAGCCAACAAAGGTTCTTTTCAGACCCTACTACAGAGTATAAACCCCAACTTTTGAAAAGCGTCATTACACTTGATACTTTGCACCACAAGAACAACTTGAAGGCACTGCCTTAACAAGACAGCCATACCCAAGATATCAGGAACTTTGACTACATGAGCCACAAGGTTCACAAATGACATCAAACGAGATCACAGAGGGAGGAACACAGATGGTGATTAACAATGCAGAACGAGCTCTATTTAGGGCTAGGCCATGACAGCACTATAATGCCTGAAAAACTATTGTTTCAGTGTTACCCACTCCCCTTCACACACTTTCTAGCCCTCTGTATCAGAAACACCTTCACACAGTGAATGGCAATACAGCAACAAACTACCTTGTCCCCCACCAAACTTACTTCAAAACTATTTTCCTGTTCCTAACAGGAAGTGGTGGCACGTTTTACCTTTTTCATTTTTTATTTTTATCATCCACATACTTAAATTAGGAGCCTCCAGGAATCCTACATGCAATTTAAACAGATACAGAGAGCTAGTGTTAAACCTTCTGGTATCCCACAAGTTATCATGAAAATGTAACAAAATTCACAGGAAAAAAATTCTGATGGCAAGGTTTGTATCATCGAGTTCTAAATCCCCCAAACAAGTCATTAAGTGCTATTTTTAAAGAAAAAAAAAAAAGAGTTCTCCCTACAGTATACAGATCACTGTAGTGTGACAGTGGTGTCAGAGTGCACCACTTGCTCCAGGGTATTGCCATCTGCAACAGCACAACATTTTGTCTCCAGTAAATAAACACATCTGCCTTTGCCAGTGCCCTCCCCACTGTGCTGCCCATCTGGAGCAGGTGAGCTGGAAGACAGGCGTGGGCTCAGGAATGAGGGGAGACACAGGGAGGACCAGGCCTCAAGGGAGACGGCACAGAGGAAGAGAACAGTCCTACATCAATGTCACATCCTGCTGGCCAAGTTTACCAAAAAGCCTGTTAAATTACTCCTGGTAGCGGTACTTTAAACCCTATGTAAGAAATGGCTGCTTCTGCTGAAGTGAGCAGGACATTCATTTGGTGTCAGCCTCACCTACGCCATCTGTGCAGGACAGACAACCTTGAGACAAGCCACCAGCCCCAGACAGCCATCTGGGCCAGGCACCCAGCAGCATCGCTCCTTCACATCAACCTCAAAAACTGCACAGAGTTTCACAAAACACACACAGACCTTCCGAATCACATTGGAGCAAAAGCTAAAGCAAGCAGCATCACTGCCAACCATCATGTACCCACCATGCTTGATCCATGTAGTTGAAGTTGTTTAAACCAGAAGAGTAGTGTTTCACATATGAGACTGCATTGAGTTCTTCCACTGACTCACTCTAACTTCAGTAACTTGAAAACATGCCTGCAGCTGTGATCCACGTCAGAAATGAGAACAATGATCTCGGGTTGTTCCTGCGGATGAGTTCTTTCAGAAGGGTCTGGGCCTCACTCCACACACGTGGAATTCTCAGCAAGACAGCTCTGATGTTAATACTGGTCTATTTGCTACTGTAACACATCACTGCAGGCCTGTGCAGTACAGCCTTAGAAGACCAACGTAATTTATCCCAAGCCCTATGCCTGACAGAGCTGTTCAACTTAGTTCTCAACATCCTATTTCTTCTTGTTTTCTTTCATACAGCATGTTGAGAAGAATGCCAATGAAATGCTTCCTAACCCATCTGCCCCTTCATGACATCTTTTCATACTTCAAAAAAATTACCATGAGAAATATCAGTAATTGCAGTTTAGTAACTTGAAAATACAGCTCCAACTTGGATTTGATGTTTACTGAAAGCCTCATGTTGCTATTTAAAAAAGGGACTTGTTTTGCTAAGTACATCAAACAGCTTTGCTCTATTAAATCATTTTCCAAGAAGATTAAACGGATTCAGTACATTTGCATGAAAACTCACAACCTTATCTCGATGTTAAAGAGGCTTAATTCACTTAGCTCTCTGCAGTGTTTGTGACAAAATGTTTATTGGGCCCACGGCTGGAATTTTAAGACTACAGTTGCATCAGTTATCAATAAGTGATGTGATAAGTTTTTTTAAATAAGCAAATCAAGTTATATTTTAATAAAACATCCTTTCAAAGTGAATTCATTACTAAAGACAGAAGCTGCCACCTTTTTCATCAGACTCCATTACTTGAAAATGGAAATTTTCCCCTGTAAGCCTTTGCCAAAATATTTCAGCTGTTACTCACTCGACTCCGAAGATAGTCAGCTAGGTTTCGTCGTGTAAAGTTTGCAGCTGCAGTAGGAGACAATTCATAACCTGGAGAAGAAATGTGTGTATTTGATAACAGTAAAAATCCATATTCATGTTTCACTTCCTGACTTTCCATTCCTATTTTGAAATAACAAGATATTCTCTAATGACAAAATGTTACACCATTTGTCTAACTCCAGTTTATTCTGAAAGCTACAAGCCTAAAAAGGGCCCTCAAAATACAGGTAGCTTGTATCTGTACAGACCATTACAATATGTAGCTTAAAAAAATTAAGATACTATGGGCACGTAGCCTGAATTTTTCAGTCAGGTACATCAGGAAAAGCGGTAACAGTTGTCATGCAATGGACATATTAAGAGAAAAACCTATTATTGTGTCATTGATACTACAAATAGGTTAGCTGGGCTTTGGATAAACCTCTTGGTTTATGCTATATAATCCAATCTCCATTTCTTAGTCCTGCCCTCACTACCACCTTTGCCTGACACTAAAAACGCAGAAATCCTTGAAGCTGGAGAAGCTTTGAGAACAGCACTTCCCACCAACATTCACCTGGAAGCTCCACCTATCATCAACTCTCGTTTCCAAGCCATGAGTAACTGTTCTCTTTCACTCACCATTTCTCATTTTGTAGAGCTGAACATTTTTCTGGATGTATTCTGCAAACTGTACAGTGTCTCCAGCCTCCCCAACACACAGGAGTAAGATCTTTTCACTCATCTTAAACATTTTGTCATGGTCTAGGCAAAGAAAAAAAAACCATTAAGAGCCATGGTCATGAGACAGGATAAATTATTTTGCCAGTATCATAACACATGATTTCTTTCAGAAGAAAGGAAAGTACTCAGAACCATATTATGCCCTGGGGCAATACCAAAAAAGCCTTCCTGAGCAAACCCTAACATTCAGCTTCCCACAGGACATCAGACTTGTTAAACACATCAACAGAAACAAAGCTGAAGTGCACAAAGTGCTTCCTTCAGGAAGGAAGGCATTTCAGAAATACATGGTCTTTCTTACATGGAAATGAAGACTAAAGCTTCACACAGAATGTTGTCTGCAGACAAAGTTTAACTTTGTACATGGTGCTTCCTGGGTTCGGGAATAAGAATTTTGCTCAATGACCATTCCACTTTATCTAAATATACTGCCACAGAAACAAGTCCTTTAGTATAAAGCTGAAATACCAACACCTCAAGCAACAGCAATCTTAGGAAATCCAGAACCAAATTCCATGTCAAATGATCCTCTCTTCCTGATATCCAGGACTGTCTCAAAAATTAGCAATTTAGGTGAGTGAGACTTTTTCAAAAACAGGTTTTGGCTTGTCATTATTTTTTGTAAAAAAAAAAAAAAAGAACATTTAGGTATTGATTATAAATTATAAACCAGCCCACTGATATACAGGGAAATTAAGGAACAGTAAGCTATACTTTTACTCGTAATTGCAGTTTTAAAAACTTGTCTGTGTATTTGAGGGAATCCAAGTTGCCACGATGACAGCACTGAAGACAATCCTCTGCTCATTCTAACACTGCAGTCTCATCTAATTAGCAGACTAGCACTCATATCTGAGACAGAAATACACAAGTAGCTGTTGGTGTGAAAGGAAGACCTCTTCTCTATACTGAAGGTAGGTCTATGGAACATTAAATCTCCACCTCTGCACTTCACTTTCAGTTTACAAAATCCCTGCTGCAAAACAGGTATGAAGTGTCACAATCCTCTAATACGATTCCAGGAGTTACTGAAGTACCTCACAGCTGCACAGACACCGCAGGTCTTAAGAGCTCAGGAAAAGCTGAAATTGATCCGCCCTTGCAATCCAGTTACAAATTAAAGCAAGTATTAGTAAATGTCAATACTCTACACAAATGTCTGAAATTTGTTTAACCTACCCCTTCCAAGGCAAATAATTCCTATGTCCTATTTTCCTTAAAGTTTATTGATAAACTTTCTTTGCGTAAACATTAACTTACAAAATACAAATATAATCACTTTGAACAATCTTTTGTATGTGCCACCACCTTTCACAGCCATCTTTCTAACACTACTCCAATTGACTTTTACAGACCTGAAGTGAAATATTCCAGGTAAAAACACTTCTAGCTATCACATTAATGATTTTATGGAATGTTTATCAATACTGCAATCTACAGGTTTTTTTAAAAAAATAAAAAGAGCTTCTAAATCATGGTGTTTTGATTAAAAAGATCACTACACCAAGTAAACAAGCTTCTAGTCTACACCTTGTAAACAAGCTTCAGTCTAGGTTATTGCAACAGTAGGCAGAAAAATACATTTTAGAGAACATCAAGGGCTTGATAATCTCCCAGATGTTTTACCACATAAAGAAACCAAAACTATACTACTGTTTGCACATACGCCTTGTGCTACAAATTTCACTGACGCTTTTACTTCCACTATTTCCTTTATTCCATGAATTGCATTTTACCAGTGAATTAGACACAACCAAGTGTTAAATCTCACCCACCGTTATCGCCGCGCAGTTATTTAACACATCCATATTGCGGTACAGAGCAAGGTTTGGGTTAACAAGTTAACGCTTACCTGTAACGGGTAAGTTAACACGACAACCCAACACGGTGCCATCATATTAGCTCAGGATTGCAAACTTTACTCTGAGCAACCGGCCGTTTGAGACCTGGGCTCACCGGGAGCGACAGAGACCGGCCAGCAGCCCCTC